TTCATTCATTCATTCATTCATTCATTCATTCATTCATTCATTCATTCATTCATTCATTCATTCATTTGCCAATTACTCTGGGAGACTTACAGAAGATTAAAACATATTAAACGACCATTTCCTTTTAAACGTAAATCTCTGAAACTACTTTGCAGCTAGGAGATTTCTTTTCAGTTCTGGTTTTCAGCTGTTTTGCTGGCTCTGTTTTTGTATATACCGTAGTTCCTTTAATTGCAGTTTCTATCTCACTCTTGTTTGTTCTTTTATTCCTCTAATGTTCTAAAGTTCTTACACTGCATTTATGTCACACTAGAAATAAGTAATGAATATACAGGTAGTCCTTGCTTAATGATCTGTTTTATGACCATTTGAAGTTACAATAGCCGTGGAATGAGTGCCTTACAATCTGTAAAGCACCCCCAGATGTTGTAAATGGTTGCACCAGGCCTTATGGTCATGTGACTACATGCCAGATTTACAACCCGTTGCAGCATTCCACGGTCATGTGACTGTGATTCTGCCAGTTTCTGGCAGAAAAATGCCCATTCAAATGAATGGGTTTGTTTAGCAATCACAGTGTTTGCTTAATGACTTCCGTGTTCTCTTACTGATCATTGCAAAAAAGGCAGGGAATGTGGTTGTCTCGACTTATGACTGTAGTGGTTTATGACCTAATTCTGAAGCTCATTTATGTTGTAAGTCGAGGACTACCTGTAGTTATCATGAGGTCAAAGGAATGTCTTTGATTACATGAATTAGAATCAGTCAGAGAGCTGAGCAAATAATAAGTATTTCATGGCAATATTGTATTGAAAATTCATAATAGTTTTGACTTGAGCTAGACAATAAAGGTGTTCAAATGCGTTGCTTTGTCTTTCAGGAAAAGGCCAAGTATTCTCCTGTGGTTCTAACTCCTTTGGACAATTGGGAATTGCTGATATTTCAGGCAGATGCACTATTCCAGCAATGATTAAGGTAAGAAGTCTTTAAAAGTCAGTGCTTTTGTCACCAAAGCTTTTTAATCATTCTGCCAGAGAGAGGAAAAAAAGCAGTTTTGTAAAAATGAAAGAGTTTGTTTTACAGGTCACTATGAATTTTTGCTGTAAGTTTTGAGGATATTTTATACTTACCTTCATGCTTCCGGTTTGAAAAATCAAGTATTTAATTCAATAGAATTATTACCATATGTTTTGTGGCATATATATTTCTCTCACCATCCTCTCACTTCTCTCATAGTCTTTACAGGATAAAATAATAAATATTGCTGCTGGACTCAGGCACGCTGTTGCTGTGGCTGGTGAGTTACACCTTTATAGTGAAATTAACAATAAATAATGTAATACTGTGATCAGATGAGTTTAATTTTGTAGCTGAAACTGCTCTGTGAATTTGCTAGAAAAAAAATGTGAAGTGCTTAAGAAATAATTCATTGATTCAATATTCAGTGATTGGCTAATACGAATTAGGTATTTTATGGAATATATTCTATGATGATTATTTAACTTTCATGGATACCTTAAAAAAAAGACATTTGGAAGACTTTTAAAAGGAATTTATAATTTGGATAATTTTGGTCTTTTACTCTCAGTTGTTTAAACTGTATAAATTGTTTGGTAGGTTTCATTAATTAAAGCCTGGAAATCAATATTACATTGCTTCTTCTGATATTAACTGGGATGGTACGGTACTCATTCTAAAAATAGGTGCATAAAGTGGCCCTCACTGGTTGAAGGTGTAGCATATTAGGGATCTTGAAAATATTAATGGTAGTCCTTGGGTTACAACCCTAATTGGGACATGAGTTTATGTTGCTAAGTGAAGTAGTTATTGAGTGAAACATCACACACTTAGTAACAGTGGTTCGGGCAGTTCTGGTTGTGGTTGTTAGGTGACCTCCCAGCTTTCCCAGTGACTGGGCTTATCAGAAGCCAGAAGAGAAAGTTGTAGATCACGTCCCCTGTTCCCTGACAGTTCCCACCCTGATCCAAGCTATTCCTGGCTGGGTTCTTCCCAGCCCTGAGCCTTGATTCTTTGCCGGCAAACGATGCTTTCAAGGGATCACCGAGCCAGAAGAGGCCAACTTGATTTTACTGCTCTTTTTTGTGTAATCTTAAGTTTTTTATTTTTTCATTTTCATAACATATAATCACATGTATACTATTACATAGCCAACGTCGTATTGTATTATTAAATGT